CATGCTGGGCAGAGTGGAGGGACAGCGCAGGAGGGGAAGACCCTCTATGAGGTGGATTGATTCTGTGACTGGGGTAATCGGGATGGATGTGTCAGAGGCAGTGAGACTGGCACAGGATAGAGTAGGGTTTAGCGCTGTTATACATAGGGTCGCTATGAGTCGCAAACGACTCGACGGCACATAACAACACAACAACCTCAGATGGATCTTGGCTGAAAGCAGAGAATATCAGAAGAATGTCTATTTGTGTTTTATTGGCAATGTAAGGCATTTGACTGTGAATCATAACAAACAGAACACTTGAAGCTGTTATCTTAGCTGAGTAAGGAAACACTGCATGATTTATAGTCAAGAACGGTGTGCATCAGGGTTGTATCCTCTCTCCATACCTACTCAATCTGTATGCTAAGCAAATCGATCAAGAATCTGGGCTTTATGAAGAAGAATGTGGCATCAGGAATGGAGGCAGGCTAGTCAACAACCTGTGCTATGCAGATGATACAATCTTGTTTATTGAAAATGTGGAGGATCTGAAGTGCTTGCTGCAGAGGATAAAGGTCTGTAGCCTTCAATATGGATTGTATTTGAACATAGAAATAAACCGAACTGGACCAATAGGTAACATCATGACAGATGGAGAAAAGATTGAAATTGTCAAAAATTGGTATCAGAAGATCAGAAGACACTTTAAAAGTCTGCGGTCAGGTATTTCTCCAAAGTTCTGAAGAGCACTGATGTCAGTTAAAAGACTAAGGTGTGCTGATTCAAGCCACAGTCTTTCCAATCACTTGCAATGCATCTGAGAGCTGGACAATGAATAAGATGATAGGAGAGGAACATATGCATTTGAGCTGTGGTGTTGGATACGAATGCTAAATATCCCATGGACAGCCAAAAGAACAAACAGATATGTCTTGGAGAAGGTGCAACCAGAATGTTCTCTGGAGGCAAAGACAGTGAAGCTTCCTCTGACATATTTTGGACATATTGTTAGGAGAGGTTATTCTTTGGAATGGGATATGGAGGGTCAGTGAAAGAGAGAAAACCTCTCGATGAGATGGATTGATATAATGTTTGCGTCAATGGACTTAAATGTGTCAAAGGTGAAACGGAGGGCACAAAATATGACAGAGTTCAGATCTGTTATTCATATGTTCACTATGAGTCATACTCGACTCGATGGCACTTTACAATGAAGAAAGATCCAAAAATTTCCAGAGGCATCCTCACAATAGCCAAATGACTCAAATATTAAAACACTTACCCTTCCATGTAAGATTGCTTTTGAACAAAAGATTCCAAGGGGGGAAAAATATAACATAAATACAGCAAGGTAGAAAGTGAAAAAGGAAAAAGAAAGAGAAGCAAATCCACATTTCTAAAATGACTGTTTTATATTAGGAAGCTCTTAGGAAAGGTTATATCAGTGATATGTCCTAGATAATTGGAGCAGGGTTGTCTTTTGTTTTTTTGGGTTTTTTTTTGTTTTGTTTTGTTTTTTGTATGCGCAATTGCTACAAGTGAAAACATATGTAGATACATATGCTTAGGGAGGAAAATACACATCAGAGAATCTTTGAAAAGGAACAACAAACTTGCAAGAAAAAAAAATCCTAGCCCTTTCAGAGTCTTTCCACACCTAAGGTTTTCTTGGATTTTCTCCATCATCTTTCAAGGAAATGCTACCTTCTCAACAATTGTAAAAGGAACAAAATACATAAAATGTAATTATTATGTGCCTAAGAGTAAGGATTGGGTCAAGTGACCTTAACAAAATACAAGATTACTTTACTGGAGTTTTTAATATTAATTACTGGAATATTATAATACTATCATATTGCTGTTAGCACAATAAGCATAATGAACTTAATTTACATTATTTACCTATATTATTCTGATATAAATGCTTACCTGATTTCTTTATGGAGTTTAGCAAATTGATGGGCTTTCCTGGCCAGGATAAAGCTGGAGAGAGAGGTTACATTTGAATAGTAAGTTTAGAGTTGCATATTTTGAGTTATCCCACGTCTCTAAACATTCTTGCCTCTACTAGCTCAGAATTAATGAATTTTCTCTGGGCCATCCCAGTAGTTTCTTCTCTGATCTCAAATCTATGCTGTCTTTCCTCTGTCTCTGAGTTGCAAACTCCTCTTACACTGTGGGCTTTGAAATGACAAATCACTCCCTACTGTGTTTTATTCTTACGTTTAGCATGATTTTTGATGTAACAAATGTTGTATGACTTAACATTACATTATTTGCCTTCTACCACATACTGATAATGATGAAAAGACAAATGTAAGTGCATAACAGTAATGGATGGCAAGGTACACTGTCTATATGACCTTTCATGATCAAAGCAATCAGGATCCTTAGCTGAATTTTCTCTTGGCAACTATATTCTGCATTGGGGAGCTAGCTCCTTTGTCTAAGATCTTGCCCTTTTCTGAGATTAATCTTCATCCACTAATTGGCCCTGGGGTGAAGTGGATACAAAGCTCCACTCTTAACTCATTTAAGGGTATCTCTAAAGGACCATTCCTATGGACAAATATTTTAACTTTCTTTGCTGTTTTATTGAGGAAACTCACACACTGATTTTGTTTTGCAAACATGTCACAGTTCTAAAATGCACAGTTCTTACCAGTTTACAAAAGTCACTAATTATCAAAAACAGTGCTGGGCAATTACTATCACTATTTTCAAGGTTTTCATAATCAGAGGAAAGGAGCAGGGTGTAGGCATTTCTTAGGTAAAACAGATTAGAATATCACTCTTTAGGAACTATTTAAATACTGCCATTAAAATGTAACTGGAAGGGTCTTGTCATACAATGTCCTGACTGTATCTAACCTGTAGGGCAAGAAGAATATCAATGTTTTTCTATCCATAATTAGATGGTTTTAATTTATATTTCTTGAAAACCTAGATCTCAAACTCCTACTTGAATTTGGTATACGGGTGACGTCAAATTCAAAAGTAATGTGCTCATTGGGTTTAGAGAGGAAGAGGATGTGTTATTTCTGTTTTCATTATGTTGTAAGACTAGTGTTACACCTGTAACTTACAGCCAGAGAAATAATTTGGACATGGATCTGCTATTCTGTGCTTGCAGTTTTCCTTCAATGATAGGATAAGCTTAACTCAACTCTCTTGTCCTGAAAAGATATGAGGTACACATTTCCCAAGCAGAGAAGAGAGGGAGGGAAAGATCACTGACTTCTCAGTCACTTGCTTGCTATTGAAACTGTATTATTTTGTGGTTTTGTGGTAGAATACATTGTCCCTTTATTTGTTTGGTTTTTGAGGAGGGCTTAAAGACAAGGAGAGGGGTGAGGATGGGCAGAGGAGCAAGGGAGGGGTGCTTAATCTTAGGATCATACAATTTGATGGGTGGAGAAAGTGATTGGTAAAGGAAAGAGGAAAGGCCTGGTGTGAAGAACAATATATATGAACTTTATACATAAAACAGTAGCAAATAAAATTTAGAAAACAAAACCAAACAATGTTTAAGAACTTTGTAAGTAAACGGGGGCGGGGGGGCAAGGCAATGGGGAAGTTGAGCTATACTTTTGGGAGGCCTCACTTCCTTCTCTGTATCTCTAATCTCCATAGTGCAGGACAGTGACAAGGATTAGAAGAAAGGGAAAGAGCTGTCCTCTTCTATACACAGTACTGTGCCCTAAACCAGCTTGCACTTCAGATGTTGAGGGAATTAATCTGGTCAAAAAAGTTACACAATGACCTATTTTAAAAAGTGTCATTTACTTAGACCTGGCTCAACTCTAGAAGTGGAAAGTCATTTGCTATTTAACACATATTTGCAATAGAGAAAAGGATAAAGTCCAGAAACTCTAAATCCTGAGAGTTTTAAAAGATAAACCAGTTAATTCTCATTCTAAACTGATTGTGAATATTCTACAGCTAGTCAAAATTGCTTGCCTGAATGCTTTCTCACCTGGTACCAAACATGCATGATTATGAGGGGAAATCACTTCCTTTTTAGTAATTTGCTAAGATTGTTATGACACACACAAAACACTATTGCACTATTTTAATACATGAAAAATATTATTTTCTTATTTTTTCAATTAGAAAATAATTATTTTAACACATGAAAATACTACCTATTTTCTTATTTCATAATTTTTAGATTTTTAAATAATATTCAGCAAGCATTCACACCAGGACCCCATTACAATCTGGTAAATGCAGAGTGCCTAGCTCTAACTTACCCCATGATAGCAGGCAATGACCCATCTGGTTTGGTGTCATCCAAAGTTATTGAAATTGGAGCTTCTTCATCTTCAATGATCATGCAGCCACAATAATCTTAAGGAGATGGAAATCAATAGAAGAGTAAGACCAACCATTTTAGAAATTTAAGAGAAAGATATATACATACAAGTATTTTCCTATGTTGTTATTGTTAGGTGCCATTGAGTAAAACCCATAGTGACCCTAAGAACAACATCCTATCCTGTGCCATCTTCACAATCACACTCAAACCCATTTCTGCAATCACTGTGTCAATCTACCTGGTCTTCCTTTCTTTTACCATTGCTCCATCTTCCTATGCCTAATGTCCCTTTCTAAAAAATAACCTCTTCTAGCAAAATGCTCAAAGAATGTGAGACAAAGCTTTATCATTCTTGCCTCCAAGGTATACTCTGGCTGCACTTTTTTTGCCTGTCCATGAGACGTTCAGTGTTCTTCTGCATCACCACAGTTCAAAGGAATCAATTATTCTTCTGTCATCCTTAGTCATTGTCTAGATCTCATATGCATATCAAGTGACTGAAAGGGATGGCCTAAATCAGATGCACCTTAATCCTCAAACTTACATCATTACTTCTCGGTAATTTGGAAAATTCCTTGACTACAGACTTCCTTAGTGCATTAAGTTTCCTGATCTTCTGACTACTGGTTGTTGTTGTTATGTACTGTTTAGTCATTTACAACTCATGACTACTGGTAGCGAGTGTATTAACTGTGGATCCAAGTAAGATGAAGTCATCGACAGTTTAATCTTTTCGCCATCTATCATAATGTTGCCTATTAGTCCAGCGGCAGGGATTTTTGTTTTCTTGACATTGAGATGTAATACATATCGAAAGCTGCAGGTTTTGACCTCTTGCAGCAATTCAAATCTTAAAACTTTTCCCTCCCATTTCCTAGTAAACATACACACTCACTATACAAGAGAATCTTTTCACTCAGGCACATAGAAAAAGATCTATTTCTGATCTTTTATTTTTTTGATTTTTATTATTTTGTGTGTGTGTGTGTGTGTGTGTGTGTGTACCATCAAATTGAATCTGATTGGTACATGAGGATATTGTTTCTCCTGCTCCAGCAGAACATCTGGTGGATTCAAACCACTCTCCTCTGGGATTGCAGTGCATCTTCTTGTCACTAGGTCACAACTAATAGTATGAAAAAAAAATATATATGGTAAAATAGCTGTGGAGTTCCAGAATACATGAGAACAACAACAACAAAAAACCAAACTCATTTCTATGAAGTTGAAACTGTCATAAGTCTTCAGAGTTTGTAAATTACACAAGAGGAAACTGCTTAAGAGACAAGGTATAATTGCCCAGCAAAACCCATGGTAAGAAATCTTACGAATATAAACAGAATATTTATTAACAGTAGGAACGACCCCCTGCCCTGGCCCCTATATCCTGAGATCCTAATACAGCCTAGCCCCTGCTTGATTTATTCCTTGCCACATCTTATACAGTAGTTATTATTGTTACCATTTTACACAAAGACAATGATGCTTAGAGAAGTGAACTGTACTGCCTGAGGTCACACAGCTAGTAAGCAAATGAAGCCCAAAGATGTCTGACTTCAAAGCAGCTCTCTTTCTATGGAGCTCCTGTGTCTCACTTCATGAAAAGGAAGTGATAGGACATAATATGTGAATAGTCAGGACAATGGAGGTACCAAAGTTGGGGTGATTATTCCTTTCTCCTTAGCACAGCACACATTCAGGTGATGTAGGCCATAAAGAGTTGCACAGAGCCTCTAGTGGTTCAAATTCACCAGTCACTTTGAAGGAGAAAGGGGGACAATTACTTCCAATGCAATTTATAGCTTTGAGAACCCAATGAATTGTCAGTTAGGTGATTTCAATTCAATGGTGATGAAAGATCATGTGTGCTCCTAAAGTAATTTTGTGTTGCAAAAGGATATAAGGAAATCTATGGTCAAAATTTCTGATCCTTTCTCTTTAACAATTTTAAAACACATTTTTCTCTTTTGAGTACTTTGCACAATGTTCTTAAAAGAATGGAATTCCTTCATATAAACTAGTTTAAATATTAAAAGAACAGCCTACCCTTCTTCTTCCAAAAGGGTTCCTTGTAGTACATCATGCACTTAATGATAGTCCCCATCGGAAGACGTTGAATTAACTGGTTTCTCTCAGATGGTAGTTCTGGTCTGAAGTGGACCTTAGATGTTAGTGTTGGTGGGATAGCACTAATAACGTATCTGCACTAAAACACACAAACACAAAATAAGACTTTAATCTGTGAATCTTTGCAGAGGGGCTAAAACATTATCTGTGTTGTTTTCAGTGACACAGAGCGACAATACACAAAACGAGACAGTTTTAGGTCAACAAAACAAAGTCTACTGAGACAGCTAACTGGAAGACAGAAGCATACCAACATTCGTTCTGTCATTGTATCAATTCTATTTGGTTAAAAGTTACGGAAGATACAACACCTATTTAATATGTAGTCCTTTCATTTAAACTGAATTACCTCATAAACTTCATGATTTAAAGTTCTGATGATTATATTGTCACCCGACTGGTCAACATAGCTGACAGGATTCCTCAACTTCACCCGGTCCCCAAGAAGTTTCATTATCTGCTCACTCACTTGGCCAGATCCACCCACAAACTTTCGTTCCTACAAGAAGTAGTAAGCAAGAAAAAAAAATTTGCTAGAGTCTAAGGAAGGAAAATCTGATTAGTTACAAGTGCTTAGGACAACCTTCAGGAAAGTACTTCCATTTGTTGCTTACTTCACTGATGGATTCTTCATTAGGATAGAGGCAGAGTTAGACAAGACAACTCATTATCCTTCTCTACATGATCTCTAGCAATGAAAAACAATTACTAGTTCATAAAATCACAGGATTCACTCTATAATTAAATCAAAATATCAGCAAGTCATTGGGTTTTGCATACCCAATGGTATTTAAGTTGTATTTGAGTGCTATGTGAGAGAAGGTCAGGGAAAGGGAGATGCAGTTTCTGCCTTTAGTTTCTCATAGTCATGGCCTTTGGTTTATCTAGGCAGGTAAGAATGCAGACATTATACACAATGCTATTCTAAGATAATGACTCAACGAGAGTCAACACTACTTGTCATCAACAGATGATATTCTAGAAAAGGAATCTCAGTTCTCAAGTACTTTTCCACAAAAATGTCTAGAAGTTTCAAGGTAAAAGCTAAACTGGGTGCCTGCTTGTTCCTTCAGATACAGTGAACAAATTCCTTTGAGCAATCCTATAAGACCATGAGTATGCTATTCCATTGAGCTCTGCTACACTTAACATGGAAACACTTCCAGCTTAATCTAACAAGGTTAGGCATTTAATATCATATAGTACATTACAAAAAAGAATGAGGGAATATTTGATAATAGTGTAGAAGATTTTCTTGAAAGGTTAGAAAAACATGCAGATAGATGCACATTCCCAAATTTGACAATTAGGTATACAAATCATATTCCTCTCAATTACTTGAATTATCTTTACAGCAAGATAATTTTTAATGACACTAACCAAGTTCTTTATAAAAATCATTCTTATGGAAGTATAGACTAAATTCATAATGTTTTCTTCCTCAAGAAACCAGAATCACATATTATCTGACCTATGTTAATTTTTGATGACATAGAGATGTTTTCGGCAGAATGTTAAATGACCCAGGAAGTATTAAAAGAAGATGGAAGGAATATACTGAGTCACTGTATCAAAAGGAATTGGAAGACACAGAAGAATTTCATGAAACAACATATGACCAAGAGCCTATGGTGATGAAA